GGGAACCTGGTAAATTTCTCGCCGTGGTGGCGGTACGGTAGGCATATGTAGGCTGATAAGCAACCTCCACTCTGAGTCCCTCCTTTTACTTGCTTTTGCTATGCTTCCCTTTCCTCTATCGAGGCTTAGTTTCCCCCACTTTTATTTTATTTTATTTTATTTTTTTTTCTCCGAGCGGACATTGTTCGTTTGTTTGGGTAGGTTGTCCGACTTTACATTCTCTCGATGCCGGACGTTATCCGGCCTGTTTCCTGCTGTGTGTGGGGGGTATGTACGGCGGGTTGGCCGTGGAGACTCATGGGAGATGCATTGGTCGGCGCGGCTTACAAGGAAACTTTTCCCGCGCTGTAAACCCGGCAGCGTGGAAGCTTGTCTTGACACTTTTGACAAGTGAAAATCCATGCAAACGGTAAAACATTGGATTGTTTTCTGTTGTTTGAAAGGCTAGACTAAGGGACGTCTGTGGCAAGAATATGTGGAGAAAGGGGGGAGGGGGGTAAAGGTAATGATAAACTATCATTGCAGTAAAAAGAATACGAGATGGAAAGAAGGAAGCTGAGATCGACACCGTTGTGGCTTAATGGATCCATAATTCTCCGTACTGGCCAGTCCCGCAAGATATATATCAGAATTAATAAATCTATAGTTATTTATGAAAACCGCGCGCTGATGCCCCGGAATCAAGACTATCCTGGTACCACATGGCAGATGATGGCCGACGACAGGGGAACTGTGATGGAAACAGGTTTACCGGCATGAGATATATCGTCTTTTTTCCTCTGCTAAAGGCAAAGGTGCTAGTATCGCACATCACTTTATCCGAGTGAGTATCTGTGTCTGAGAGGATATACTCCCTAAAGACTAGCTGGGGCCGATGATCATGGATGCCGTATATACCATGTTCAGGCACATTGCAGATCACCGTTGGAACTTGTTTTGTTTGGGGATGGCGGTGAGAAAACAAGATCAATATATCTGGGAATAGTATTGATCATGAGATTCATTACCTTAGCAGAATCAGGGTTCTGGGGGGGAGGGCTTTGCAAATTTGGGTGGAACTTCTGGAATTGGATGTGACGGGGGTGGGATATGGTGGGGGCTTAAGGAAATATCGATGGGAGAGGTTGATATATCTTGATGTATCTACCTTGCTTTGGGATTGATATTGGGCCTGGGCTGTACCCAAAGGACACTGTTTCGCTGCTGGAACGAGATTGACAAGCGAATGCAAGTAATCAAAAAAAAACGCTCGTCTAGCGGCATGCGAAGGAGATCGTGATGAGATGTGAAGGCCTCACAAGACAAGTTTGATGCGGGTATACCGAGGCAGTACAGTTACATGTATTTCGGGGATACAGACTAACTACATACTACCAGCGCGCAGGAACAATCTACAACCATGAGACTTAACCCTCACAATCCTCACAAATATGAGATGAAAAGTGGTGTACAAGTATACTGTACTACGACAAGCAGATCTGGCCAGCTGCCGCTCCTAGAGTTGGATCTACTCTTTCTGGCGTGTTCAGAAACCAGACCTTACAGATACAACGAGCAGGGAGGCCGTATTAGGATACTTTACGGCTTCTTGGACCAAGAACGGAAACAGCATCGGTCCCTATCTCCTCAATTGAGAACTTCAACCGACTTGATCTCTCGATTTTACGTGACTATGCACGTTGACATGAATCGAAACGATGTGATTCGGGCTGCAGTGCATATATTTTTTTGATACTCGCGCTCGGGACATGTGCGTACTTAACAATATACAGATTATCAACCTTGCTCGGAGTTGGCCAGTATGTATGAGAGTTTTCCGGGAATTCCATGCAGGGGACGGGGGGAGTGTCGCATGTACCTCTTTGGTCATAAATGTCCGAAGGCTTGATTAATGAGCCGGTAAAAATTCTATATAGCTATTTATACCCCATACGACCCAGCCGGCGATTTTATAGGAAAACTTGGTCGGTTTCATGTCATGCCATTGCAAACATTTCTCCGTTATCGAGCATATCTCATACCCCGGTCCGGCTCTGTCCGGCCGGAAAGTAGAGCGCGATCATGGCTGATCACTCATGGGTAATATTTATTAAGCAGCTTTGTGGACTTGGCCAATCACAGGATTGTGCTGGCTTGGCACATAACCCTTTCTGATCATTTCATGCATGAGCACATGTTCTCGGTTGGATAATAAACAGTTGCGGACATGGGGGTGGGGATACCATAGAAAACGGAGAATGCCGGCGGCGAAAGGAAAGTACTCTACATAGTAGAATACCATGATTATGGTAGTGTAGTACACAACGTGCATATGAAGGCCAATTATCCATTTCCAAGCTGCATTAAAACCTAAAAGTCCTTCGGAGTCCGGCATTCAAACAGAGCATTATGATGTTTGTGATGTATGGAGGTAGCGATATCAAATTTAACCATAACTCGATCCACTCACATAGCGACTGAGCTGGTGAATGAGCAAGCGTAGGTACAATCGAATTCTCGTATGTACTCACTTCAATAATGAAGTCACGCGCCCCAGTTTGAGTAATCAGGGGGCGGTTAATTCAAACAAGGTGATTGTGCTTATAGCCTGTCTATAATGTCTGGTTTATTCCCGGCATAGCTTTTAAAAGAGGGTGGTAAGTAAATATGCATAAACTGGCCGTTTAAAGGTCTAATAGATTCAACTGGTGCTTGTTAAGTCCGGGTGATTGATAGGGTTCCCTGGAATTTATGGATGACGTGGTTTATTTCCACGATTTCTAAAGGCGGGGAAATATCTGATGCCAATGACATGCAAGATTTGTGTATGATTGATTGCCAGAAAACTTCTAAACATAATACTACTGAAATGTCAGCCCTTGAGTATTTCAGAATTTCTGTCCAAAACTGGTCCTTGTTTCTAGTGACTAATCAATCTTAAAGGTAGCATTACTGTAATGATTTCATATCTTTACCTCCGTAAAATAACTTGTTGTATATGCAGTACATGTAGTACGTACCCACATACTGAACCGATTGTATGAACCATCGGGCTCCCCGCACTGCAGCCAATTCTTCACTTGGCGCTCTACGAGATAAATGTGTACTAAACCCAAGACAGATATTTTAAGATTGACTCCGCATGCCAGTTCTATTGGTATCTAGCGGGTTCTGTTTCTACAGCCTCTTATCTGTAACTATTAACAGTCAGTACCATTTATTATTGCTAAGGATGTTAATACAAGATATACAAGCCTCATGTTTAACTCGCCCTTCCACGGCAGATGGAGATACTCCAATTGCTAACTACACCCGGGAGTGTATACAGGTTTGAAAATGCTGCGATCTAGGCTTGTAGTAATTTCTGAGAGTGGGTTTGCTTTCCGAGCTGACACAATTGATTGGTGGTATTACGGTGCACCGGTGCTACCAAGGTTGAAGAGCTGAATATGTGACAGCGGCAGTCATTTATTTCATCTCATCTTTTCTTGAGACTGGGTTAAATTAGAGTGGACTCTACAGTGCGTAAGCAATGGGACAATCGGGAGAGAACCCGAATAGACGGTAGGTGGGGTTTCTTGTGGGGTAGAAAGGTGGAGATGGTGGTGGAGATCGTGGTAAAGATGGTGGTGGAGCGGTGAGTATTTAATCTGGAAAACCTTGGCTCCGTCTCTCGTGGGTTGATTTCTGAGACATACAGACCTTGGTAGTTTGTAGTGCCGTGTGATATATGTTGTTGACACCTGCGGTAAATGTGGATGCCTTGCATGCATAGTTTCGACACCTTGTGTTTACCTTGCTGATTTCATTAATATTGGGAACCTGATATTGGGGCCTTTGGCATCAACTCTGAGAATCAATGTCCGAATAATGTTTAGAAATTCTTCTATACTGCCGAAGGTGTGTTGCATGTTATAGGTATGATAGTTTCTTTATAATCCCGTACCACCAACCGGTATATTGAAAATAGATATAGCTATAAACTCATATGACTTTATTTATATGATTGGGTTAGCTTGCAATATATGCTGTAGTAGATATAACCTATATAATCTATGATCGAAAACCATCTTCTGTGTATATATATGCAGTGGCAATATATTAATAACCTTTATATCATTGAAAATGAAGATCAATAGGACCTCTTCTTTTAGACTAGCAATGGCATGCAAACCTGATATTGATTTTCAGGATAGAAAATTCTGGAGGATTAAAAAAAGTGTTGCCATTATATGCTTGACCTCATTATGTTTGAAACATAGATAGCGCAGGGCTAATAATGATCTAGCCTTGATATTGACCCCGTCCCCGGGAATTATATACTTGCCACCGAATTGACAGGTAGGGATCGAATTGAATAGTAGTAGTAATTGCCGTGTGAATCGTGATGAATTAGTGATATATCAGAAAGAGATAAGGTTATATGTGGAATGGATATTTGATTTTGTTCATACGCATATGAAGTATTAGACTAGAGCTCCTTCATTCGTGCTACTAGAATCCCGACTATTCCAATGAAACCATCAGTAGTGCTACCATTTTGCCACTTTCCTGCCCCTCGCCACTGCCGTTTCAGGTGAGCAAATCTGATAGCCAGTTCTTTTGTCTTGTTTCAGGTCAATCTCATGTGACTGGTCTATGAAACCGTTGATTGTGGAATTGTACCAAGTTTTGGATGCTATTTTTATATATACAGAGCACGTCTTATGGCTCTGCTAACCAGTATTGAGGGGCTTGTACAGATGTAGATGTAGGATGAGTGGCACTGTAGCTCAGAACTAAGGCTGGCTTCCAAGGGGACCGTGAAATATCTATTGAGATTCGAACATTGTAAGTTGTTGAGGCAATCCAAAACGAAATATGGAAGTCGCAAAATTTTCTCAAGTTCTTATTTGAAAATTCGAAATCTGTGCAGTGGCTATACTGAATTAGCAGCTTTCGGTAACGTATTTCACCTAGAAGCCGACCTTCACCTAGCAACCGATCAAAAAGCAATTATACTCCTACCCGATAATAAAAATTTATTTTCTAGATCTAAGTCTCCTAACAGAATCCCCCGGCTTTGGACTATTACTACTATTATTTACAACATATATTTTCATTTTCCGGGCATTTTTCTTACCACTTTGGGTTGTGATATTTGTAGGGGTGCACCTATCCGCTTCCAGCTCTTCCCACTCGCACTCTGAGCCTTCAGGGTCTTGAGTCACAGGTTCAGCCGGTTCCTCAATTGGAAGCTGTCTCTTTGGACGGCCTCTAACCTTGGTGAGTTTCCTGCCGAGATTTGCGGGCTCGGCGCAGTCTGTCTCGGTGCTCTTTGATGTCCTCTCCGCTGCCTTCAACTCTTTTGCTATAGCTCTCGCAGCGGTGAGCTTTTGCTTTTCCTCCCATTGATTGCGCAGACGTACAACCTCATCTGTAGTAACTATGAGGGCTTTGGAGAGAACAGCTCTACTTTGTACCCTTGAGGAGTCGGAATTTGCTTTTTCTTTCTTCCTCAAATATGCTAACTCCTGCCGTAGGACAACTACCTCTGCTGATGATTCTTCAGCGGCAAGGCCCAGTTTCTCAACCATAATTTGCGCCAGCTTTCTACTAGGTGTTGCATTGCCTACTAAAGCAATGGTGCGCTTGGTGTGGATTGAAATGCCTTTTCCATGGCGGGGTGTACCATCAGCAAAAAATGAAGTCTCGTCTTGTGACGCCTGGGCGCCCCAGACGACCTAGACGCTCCAGACGACACAAAGCGATTTCTTACCTGCATACCGACACCTGGGTGCCCTGCGACGAGAGCCCTGCGTCTCTTGGGCAACCGACGACGTCGCGAAGGCTAAAGACGAAAACCTTCTCCCATCCCTCAAAGACGTCGTCACGACGTCTAAAGACGAGCTCGTCTTCTGGACATAGGAGGTAGCCCCTCTACCATTATGCTCGCATCTTGGTCTATGGAAGTCGTCCTACGCCCTCGTCACCTCGCCTTTAGTCTAATTACCTACGTAATATTGGCCGACTTATGTCCTCAACCTGCCTATCTCGACCACTACATATCGTCTTTCCGCTCGCACTCTCTGTCTCTTGACAGTTTATATCGTCCTTTTTCACTAATCTGCGCCTTCCGACAGCTATCCCGTCTTTTGGTTCACACTCTTCGTCCTTTCATTCGCATATCTCGTCTTACGGCAACTATATCTCGTCTTTTGGTCTAAACTCTTCGTCTTTCCGTCCCTTGATTCTACGTTTGAATTTTCTTTAGGTGATACTGTCTATTGATTCATTGTCTTTTGACGCCCCTCGCTCTAGCTAGTTCGTCTATTGGGGTGAGAGCTATCTGACCCTTTGTACTTTGCTCCTGCGCAGTCTCCCTCTCCGTCTTCTGACCACTTCTCCCGAGCGCTCTTCTCCACCGTGCGTCATACTGACATCTCTCTCTACGTCGTTTTCAATATTTACATTAATCCCGGTAATTGTTCCAATAGTCCCATCTATCTGGCTTTCTGCATCGACTACGTAGTCCCCGACTGTAGGTGGAGTGACATTGCCCTCCTCCCCGTCGTCATCGTCAAACGGCGGGTCGCCTGCCTCGTCGGACCCCATATCGTCGTCGTCAGTCTCCGTACTGAGCTTGGATCGGAGACCCTCCAAAAAGCTGCCTACTCCAGGGTCAATAATTGCCTCCCTGCTCTCCTTAGCGGTAATTCTGCAGCAGTTTGTCCTCTTAATCCGTTTCAATATCTCGTGTCGAATCCCCTTCAGTACTAGATTTGACGTCTCATCGTCGGGGAAGGACCTCTTCCATGTGCGCATGTGCCTTTCGAAAATTACTAGCACCACCGTCAATAATGATACCCGTCGATAACCTGACCAGATGAAAGACGGGGTGCTCACCGCCGCAATAGTCCTTATTGAAGACACCATTCTTCCAGTTGCTGCCTCCAATTACTTGGACTCTCAGCGCATGGTAAAGTACAGTAGAAACCAGGCAGATAAAAGACGGGTTGATACAACTCTCAAATTCCGGATGGTTGACGGCAATCCCACGATTGGTCTTATAGTAGGCGTAGACGATAAAACGCGGTATTTGAGGTGCGGCGAAATGCCATTGCGCGGGCTAAAGACGTTAGTACCAAATCTGTGCCCCTGGATGAACAGTGGATATACCTCGTAATGAGTGGGATCACAATTGAAACGGTCATCTGTCAGGAGGTAATCGACACGGGCTTTTGCTTGCTCGCCGGTCATGCCGGCTAGGCCGTAATATAACGCGATTACCGCCTTTGCCTTCTCCATCATGTGTGAACGAGTCCGTTGATGATAAAACCTCACCTGCCCGGACACGCCGGTCGACAACTCCGCTGGAAAGTCGGTTCCCGCCCTGGCAAAATCCCATGAATTTCTGTCCATGGACGCCAATTCCAATACCGAGGGCATGTAACGGCAGCTACGTATTTCGGCTAGGTGATGAACTGGGATGAGGGAAGGAGGTATCGTGTAGTGGAATTAGGATTTGTAATGGGGATTTCTGTTATGTTCTTTGGGTTTCTGTTACGCGAAGGTATTAGTCATCGTTGGATTATGGATGGATATATAAGGGGGTGTTGTCTCGTGCTTTTGTCTGTTTTCCTTCTTCTCTTTCTTCCTTACGCAACCTCTGTATTTTATTCCACGAATACTATTCTTTGTTCGCACTACGTCATAGGGCTCCAACCGGTTTATCATACCAGGTAGAGCCACCCATAGTCCATAGTCAAAGTATACCTTTACGTCTACGTCCACGTCTACGTCACTACCTAGGTTGTATTCCTTGGCACCACAGTCTATCGCCTATAGTCCCCGTGATACGTAGGTTGCGTCCTCTATCGCCAACCAATACAACACCATAGCCTACAATGTCGGAACATGTCCATGTCGATTATCAACAACTCAACGATAACCTCCAAAGATTTTTTGAAGCGCATCCACAGGTCGATCATGTTGTCGGAGCTGAAGCTTATGCGCTTCTTCAACAGTGTCAAAATGGTCTTATTCAATATGCAACGGATTTACAGGAGATAGAAGCGGAGGCTGAGAGGGCAAGAAGGATATTTGAACGAGATCTTACTGCTGCCCGAGCTCAACAAACTGCTGTTGAGGTTGTGGCCCCTGACGAAGAACCTATTGGAAACAACGCTCCACCTGTACCTCCAGCGCCACCAGTTACAGGTACCACCTATCGGTCGGAGAAACTCCCAGATCCCGATGTGTTTAGGGGGGATCGTGATCGAGAAAGACTACACTTATTCAAGCAACAAATGAAAATTAAGTTACTGGGAAATATCGATCGCTATCCTACACTACAGTCTAAGTTATCGTACGCGTTCAGCAGATTGGAAGGTGCTGCTGCCAATCAGTTTTTACAGTACATGGGAGAAGAAGGTATTGCCTTACCTTCTATGACACGGTTTTATGAGATTCTGGATACAGCTTTTGGAGACCCCGATCGAATGCGTACAGCTAGAAGAAATCTTCGGAACATCAGACAACGCACTCGAACCTTTGCCGATTATTTTGCTGAGTTTCAACGGTATGCTGCTGAGTCGGGTATGGATGAAGTCTCTCGGATTGAGGCTTTGATGGAAGGAATTAATGGGGAACTGGACGAATCGATGATACACCATGAGACTCCTGCAACGGTAGATGGTTGTGCAACACTCTTGCAACGGTTGGATAACCGACGACGGGCGGCGGAAGCTAAGCGAGGTAGTAAAAAACCTTGGACTACTACTGCGACCCCGGCTCCGCGTCCTCCACCAACAAATCCTGTTCCTGCTCCCCGTCCTGCTGCCCCTGCTGCCAACCCACCTGCCATTGAGAATCACCCCTCGTTCCGTCCTGGAGGTGATGTACCCATGGACCTGTCTGGAGGACGTCGTCGCCCTACCCCTGCCGAAAGAAACGCCCGATTAGCTGAGGGCCGATGTTTCTATTGCGGAGGTGTTGGGCATATGGTTAGAAATTGCCCCCAAGCGAGGGCAACTGGAAATCAACCAAGGAGGCCTGTGATGAGAGGAGCGGCGTTGACAGTGGAAGAAAACGATGGAAGCGATAATGAGTCGGCAAAAGATTTGTCCCTGCACTAAGTGGCTTAGCCCAGGGACCGTTTAAGGATTTTTTTAGGATGTGTATTTCTGGTTTTTCGGTATCAGAGGAGGAAATGGATGGAAATCAACTTGTAGTAACTTGTTCGATTTCACAGAATAAAAATTCGTTTATACCTACCTACGCCCTTATTGATACCGGAGCATCAGGATATGCTTTTATTGATGAATCCTTTGCACGCCACAACAATCTTACAATGACCCCCCTTAAAATACCTCGCCATGTAGACGTTATAGACGGAAGGCCTATTAAGTCAGGAAAAATTACCCATATTGTCGATGTCTCGCTAGACATTCATGGTCATCGGGAAACGGCGCCATGTTTTGTAACGAAGTTAGGACACTATCCGATTGTGATGGGGATACCTTGGATGCGACGACATGATGTTACGATTCGACCAAAAGAAAATCTACTTGTTTTTGACTCTCGAAGCTGTTGTCAACACTGTTCACTCAGTGGAACTGCAGTTATTGTTCATGGTATCTCGATCCCCTTACCAGAACACCATACAGTCATCGTTTCAGCAACTGAGAAATCCACTATCGATATCGAACAATTAGTACCGAAAGAATTTCACCATCGTCTTCACATGTTCAAAGAATATGATGCTTCAATTCTCCCACCACATCGACCATCCCATGACATCGAGATAGTATTAGAGGAAGGCAAACGACCACCATATGGACCTATATATGGATTATCTCAAATTGAGTTAAAAGCACTACGAGAATATCTTGATGAAAATTTACCCAAAGGATTTATTCGAGCCAGTGAATCACCAGCGGGAGCACCCATACTGTTTGTGAAGAAAAGCGATGGAACCCTTCGACTTTGTGTTGACTATCGAGGCCTAAATGCGATTACAATCAAAAATCGATATCCATTACCATTGTTGAAAGAAACCCTGGCTAAGTTGTCAAGAGCACAATACTATACTAAGTTGGATTTACGATGGGGATATAATCAAATCAGAATAGCGGAGGGAGATGAATGGAAAACAGCATTCCGGACTCGATATGGACATTTCGAATATACAGTAATGCCGTTTGGATTAGCTAATGCCCCTGCCACATTTCAGCATTGGATCAATGATATTCTACGTCCCTACCTCGATCAATTCGTAACAGCATACTTAGACGATATCCTTATCTATTCCGAGACCCTATCAGAACATAAAGAACATATTCAGAAGGTTCTAAAGGTACTTGATGAAAATCATGTTCACCTTAAACCTGAAAAATGTGAATTTATGGTTCAGGAAACAAAATATCTTGGTTTAATCCTTACTCCAAATGGGAATAGAATGGATCCAAAGAAAGTTATCGATGTTTTGGAATGGACTACACCGACAAACCTTCGTGATGTTCAAGTATTCCTAGGATTTGCAAATTTCTACCGACGGTTTATTTTGGGATATTCGAAAATTGTTGCCCCGCTTACAGCCTTGACAAAGAAGAATGTTAAATTTGAATGGACGGATGAAAGGGAGGAAGCATTTCAGACTTTGAAAAAGATGTTTACAACGGCACCGATACTCGCTCATTTCAATCCAGATCGAAAAATTGTGATAGAAACTGATGCATCCGACTATGTTTCAGCAGGAATCCTATCTCAACGTGACAACGAAGGAATCCTACATCCAGTTGCTTTCTTTTCCAAGAAACACTCTCCCGCAGAATGCAACTACGAAATCTATGACAAAGAACTTTTAGCAATTATACGATGTTTTGAAGAATGGCGACATCATCTGGAGGGAGCTCAATTTCCAATTGAAGTTCTTAGCGACCATCGGAATCTTGAGTATTTTATGACAACAAAATTGTTAAATCGTCGACAAGCCCGTTGGTCCGAATTTCTTTCACGCTTCGATTTCGTTATACAATTTCGGCCAGGAAAACAAGGAACAAAACCAGATGCATTGACTAGGAGGTCAGGTGACCTACCTAAAGAGGGGGATGAACGGTTAACGCATCAGAGTCAAGTGATTCTGAAGCGAAAAAATTTGGATACCAAGCTAAGTTTGTTCGCGGGTTCTTTGTCAAATGAATCCGCTGAAGGAGCGTCCACTGTAGAGGAGTTATTTTCAAAAGCTTACCAAGTGGATAGTTTCCCAAACAAGGTCCTCAATATGCTTCGGAATGGCACACGCCACTCAAACAAAATCTCACTTGCCGAATGTATGGAAGATAACAACGGTCGGCTGCTTTATCGAGGCATGCTATATGTACCAGACGACGATGACCTTCGACTAAGGCTTTTAAAAGAATATCATGACAAACCATCTGCAGGACATCCGGGTAGAGCGAAGACTCTGGAGCTCCTAAGTCGAGAATATTACTGGCCACAGATGCGGAAGTTTGTCGATCAGTATATTAGGAATTGCAATGTGTGCACCCGTAGCAAGGCATCACACAATGCACCTTATGGAGTACTTCGCCCCATGCCAATTCCCGATGGACCCTGGACAGATGTCTCGATGGACTTTGTGACTGATCTTCCTGAGAGTGATGGGTATAATGCGATTTTGGTCGTGGTGGATAGACTAACCAAAATGCGGCATCTGATACCAACGACAAAGGAGGCGGACTCACAGGAAGTAGCAAGGCTATATATTGATAACGTCTGGAAGCTACATGGATTACCCGACACTATGGTATCCGATCGAGGAACACAGTTCGTCGCGGAATTCTGGAGGTCCCTTTGTGATCGATTGGAAATCTCGCCAAAGTTCTCTACTGCATTCCACCCCCAAACAGATGGACAGACAGAAAGAATTAATGCCATAATGGAACAATACCTCCGAAGCTATGTTTCCTATCAACAAGATGACTGGGTCCGATGGCTACCGATGGCTGAATTTGCAACTAACAACCACGTTTCCGAAACAACAAAAGTTTCCCCCTTTTATGCTAATTCGGGAAGGAATCCTAGGATAACATTTGGGCCTTTGGAACATGGTCGAACGACGGCGGAGGATCAAGCGAACCGTATTGCAAGGGAAATGAAGGATGTGGTGGACTTCCTAAGAGAAGAAATGTTCCGGGCGCAAAGGATACAAGAAGAATCAGCCAATAGGAATCGAACTCCAGCTCCTCGATATTATTTAGGAGATAAGGTTTTTCTATCGACCCGTCATATTCTAACAAAGCGACCCTCTAAGAAATTCGATTGGAAACGTATTGGACCTTATAGCGTTAAACGAATCGTTAATCCCTATGCTTACGAGTTGGAACTTCCCCGGTCGATGAAAATTCATCCAGTATTTCATGTTTCGTTATTGTCACCTGAAGCAAATGATCCTTTACCAGGACAACAACGATTACCACCACCTCCGGTTGAAATCGAAGGGGAGGAAGAATGGGAAGTCGAAGATATTTTGGATTCGAGGAAACGAAGAGGAAGATTTGAATATTTGGTACGATATATGGGATATGACGAAGCCTCCTGGCAACCGCTATCGGACCTTGAACATTCACCTGAAATTATTAGACGATTCCATGAGCGTTATCCAGAGAAGCCTAAGCCTACCAGGAGGTAGGCCTTAGAGGGGGGCGTGGTCTGTAACGGCAGCTACGTATTTCGGCTAGGTGATGAACTGGGATGAGGGAAGGAGGTATCGTGTAGTGGAATTAGGATTTGTAATGGGGATTTCTGTTATGTTCTTTGGGTTTCTGTTACGCGAAGGTATTAGTCATCGTTGGATTATGGATGGATATATAAGGGGGTGTTGTCTCGTGCTTTTGTCTGTTTTCCTTCTTCTCTTTCTTCCTTACGCAACCTCTGTATTTTATTCCACGAATACTATTCTTTGTTCGCACTACGTCATAGGGCTCCAACCGGTTTATCATACCAGGTAGAGCCACCCATAGTCCATAGTCAAAGTATACCTTTACGTCTACGTCCACGTCTACGTCACTACCTAGGTTGTATTCCTTGGCACCACAGTCTATCGCCTATAGTCCCCGTGATAGGGCATCGGGTTTTTGAATAGTGTCTCTTTGGTGAGATGCCACCCAGCTTTTTCGATTAGAGTCCTCAGCTCAATGTTGAATTGCCCTAAGCTACGATGTCGGAGAGCTCTGGTTTTGTTGGGATCGGTAGGGTCTACCGGCGCTAGTAGATTTTGTGACGACGACTCTCCAGAATACCCACCGCCGCTGCCACTAGCATAATCTGTACTCCTGACGACTTCGGAAGGGGCTCTTATCGACGCCGGTCTAGAAAGCTCAGAAATTTGACGACGGGCTTCGGGGCGGGTCCCCCCCGACGATGTTCTAATAGACTCAGAAGCTTGATGACCGGAGTGAGTATGTGTCTGACTAGTTAAGGCGTTTCGACGGGTAGGAGACCTATTACTACGCCCGGGGGAGGCATAAAAAGTGTCATACGGCTGGTTCGCGTCAGATTGTCTATTTCGTGCGGCCGACGGTAACGTATCCCTCGACGAGGATTGCTGAAATTGAGACTCCTGGGGTGGTAGGCTTGAGAGTGGCGGGCTCGTAGGTTGTCGGGCATTGACTCTCCCGTCTTTTGTCAAATACATCTCACCATGAAGCTGTAAATCAATCTGTGAAGCTCTTTGTGATAGGTCCCCGTATCCTGAGACATCGTCTTCAGACTCCGTTTCTTGTCCTCGCGCCTGTGACGATCTCGTAGGCAATCGTCTGGCTGAGTCATGTGGAAAGGTGCTTGGAATCTCCTGTGAAGATCGTACATGTCTTTGGGTGGTCGGTCGTCTGTCCCTGCTAAACGACCTGGTGTTCCGACGGGAGGAAGTTTCTCTGTAGGTGTTTTGCGAGGGACGGGAGGAGTTAGACAAATGAAACTGACTCTCTCGCTGAGGCATTGTCAAGGATGTCTTTGTCGGTAGGATGGGCAGTGCAAAGTACCAACTTTATAAGAGAGTTTTGGGAAGGGGGAGTGGGGAGATGACTCGGAGGGCAACTTCTGCCGTGATGTCATTGATCCGTACACGGACCAATAGCTAGAGGCAAACGACGCTAGGAGATATGTTCCGCGATTTGTTCCGAGCTCCTGGAATCCAAGGGTTAGCCTAAATAAGTCCACCATAATACAGATTCACGCCGTTCCACTAAATCGTGTGCGGGTAGTCGAGGGCGGTCAAGTCAAAACCCTCTCAAGTCCGAGTCTGGCGTCCCCAGCAAGCTCGTCTTCTAGAAGCTCGTCTCCTGGAAGGGTGACTGGCAGGCAGCGGTCATTCCGACCGATAGTTTCATTCCCGCATCACCCTGTCCGGGCTCGACTGCTTGGTAGAAGCTCGTCTCCTGGAAGAGTGACTGGCAGGCAGCGGTCATTCCGACCGATAGTTTCATTCCCGCATCACTCTGTCCGGGCTCGACTGCTTAATGGCGTGGGTATACAGCTTTTCGAACGGAGTCGTCCCATCCCCCCGACGCAATACCCTTGGTATTTCGTGATCCGTCGGTTTCAGTCGCGTGACTAACGCTGGCGTCCCAGCAAGCTCGTCTTCTAGAAGCTCGTCTGCAAGGGTGACTGGCAGGCAGCGGTCATTCCGACCGATAGTTTCATTCCCGCATCACCCTGTCCGGGCTCGACTGCTTAATGGCATGGGTATACAGCTTTTCGAACGGAGTCGTCCCATCCCCCCGACGCAATACCCTTGGTATTTCGTTATCCCAGCAAGTTCGCCTTCCCGGAGGGTGGGCAATGGCAGGAGACGAAAAAGGCTTCGATCCCGCACTCTTCCTGTCCGGGCTTTACTGCTTTTTGGAATGGGTATTATACAGCTAATCAAACAGTCCACGCGACTAGAGTCATATGGGCTAAACGAGCAACAAAGATTGTTTACTCGCCTTCTGGTCAGATTACTGAGGTCTGATTCGAAACGTACACCGACCGATAGATATAGGCCAATGACGCGAAGACAAACGACGGACATTCAGTCGCCATGCTAGTAGAAAACCTAAAATCCAAGGGTTAGCCTCAACTCCACCATAATACAGATTCACGCCGTTTCACTAAATCGTATGCGGGTAGTCGAGGGCGGTCAAGTCAAAACCCTCTCAAGTCCGAGTTGGCGTCCCCAGCAAGCTCGCGTTCCCGGAGGGTGGGCAATGGCAGGAGACGAAAAAGGCTTCGATCCCGCACTCTTCCTGTCCGGGCTTTACTGCTTTTTGGAATGGGTATTATACAGCTAATCAAACAGTCCACGCGACTAGAGTCATATGGGCTAAACGAGCAACAAAGATTGTTTACTCGCCTTCTGGTCAGATTACTGAGGTCTGATTCGAAACGTACACCGACCGATAGATATAGGCCAATGACGCGAAGACAAACGACGGACATTCAGTCGCCATGCTAGTAGAAAACCTAAAATCCAAGGGTTAGCCTCAACTCCACCATAATACAGATTCACGCCGTTTCACTAAATCGTATGCGGGTAGTCGAGGGCGGTCAAGTCAAAACCCTCTCAAGTCCGAGTTGGCGTCCCCAGCAAGCTCGCGTTCCCGGAGGGTGGGCAATGGCAGGAGACGAAAAAGGCTTCGATCCCGCACCCTTCCTGTCCGGGCTTTACTGCTATTTGTGTTCCGTCGATCCAGTCCGTTTACTAGAGTCGTCATAGGCCAAGCGAGCAACAGAGATTGTGTACTCGCCTTCAGATTGGATAGAGGAGAGGAGATGAGGTCGGACGCGACTTGGATTGTCAGATGACTAAGCACTTGCTTGGCGTCAGCTACGTCTTTTTGCTCAACATACTCATCACTGTATTGTATTCGGTCGAGTGACGCTCCTAATAACAGTATACTACTAATGATCAGACGAATCTATAACGACCCCAACCAGCATCGAAAGACCTAACTCACCTCACATGCTGCGCGAAAAGACCCTAACAGATATCACTAACCCTAAACCAAAAGGACCCCCGTCAAATAACCCGAAAGAGATAAGACTAACCCCCAAAAGACCCAATAAAGATAAGACTAACCCCAAAAGACCCAAAATAGATAAGACTAACCCCCAAAAGATCCAATAAAGATAAGACTAACCCCAAAAGACCAAAATAGATAAGACTAATCCCAAAAGATGACCAGGACAACTGTCAAACCACCCAAAACAGATAGACCAAACATATCGCAACAACCGCCAAAGAGGCTAAAAAATAACGCGATAAAAGATAGGCCGACAAAAAGACGAGAACCACAACCGTCAAAAGCTAAAGGTTGCGACTAGGGTCAGAAAACTCACGAGCAGGTGACTGGAGCGTGCAACCTACTATCAACCAGTGCTACTCGAAACGAAGTTTCTTTCGAGTCGCAGGACGAGAGACGGAAGTCCAGCCCTTCGCAGGGATGTCGGGGAGGTTGATGATAGTGGGGGGAGGGGAGATTTGGGGGTGGGGGGACTGGGGAAGACGGGGAATTGTTTGGAGCTTAGCCACTTCAATCGAACTGGTCGGTGCATCGGTAAGGTAACCCACTTCCATATCGATTGACTCGTCCCCGCGCCCGCCAGGAGGAATACCCCCATCAGGGCCACCATCAACGTAACTACCTTCCCCGGCAGGCTCTTCGCCGGGCATCTCATCTTGCGTAGTTCTTTCAGACTCCGGAGCGCTGTCAGCTTGTGAACCAGTGGCCCGGCTTTCGTACTCTGGTATTAAGTCCCCTTGCTCTTCCTCCTGCTCACTCTCATAGGACGGGCTCTCAGCAGGCTCATCGAACAGATGGTGTCTAACGTATTGACCGCATTAGCCGCATTAGGAGAAACTATACTACTGGTACGGAATTTAGTCCAACTTACGCTCTCGACCTTTTCCCTCCTCGCTCGGCAGCAGTAGTCTGAGCAGGTGTTTTGGCCGGGGTCTTCGGGCCGGGTGTCTTTGATGGCGGCGTCTTGGCCGGCGTCTTGGGCCCGGGTGTCTTTGATGGCGGCGTCTTGGCCGGCGTCTTGGGCCCGGGTGTCTTTGATGGCGGCGTCTTGGCCGGCGTCTTGAGCCCGGGTGTCTTTGTTTTCTTTCTCCTTGGGGCCTCCTCCTCCTCTTCTTCCTCCTCTTCTTCCTCGTCCTCCTCCTCTTCTTCTTCCTCGTCGTCAACGTCATCGTCCTCCTCGCGCTCTTCGTCGTCGTCGTCGCCATCATCGTCGTCTTTCTGGGCCGCCTTGCTCGAGCTACCCCCTGCCTTGCCTTTCGGGCCCGCCTTGCTCGAGCTGCCCCCTGCTTTACCTTTCGGACCCGCCTTGCTCGAGCTGCCCTCTCCGGCGTTCTCTCCTCTGGGCTTTTTACGGGAACTCGACCCTCCACCTTCACCCTCGCCTTCGTTGTCGTCGTCGGCGTCGTCGTCGGTGTCGTCGTCAGCGTCGTCGTCAGCGTCGTCGTCGTCGTCGTCGTCGCTCACCTCCACAATCTCACTTCTCTTCCTCTTTGTCGGTTTCCCCCAACGAGTTCCTGTCTCCTCGGCCTTGATGCCCGACGCTCTCCGGTCAATCCGCAACTGATTGTCTATCAGCACCTCCCAGTCAACGTGAAAGTAGGGGAATGACAGCGGCGGTGGAGTCTGCCTGGCATTTTTATCGCGCTCATTATAAACCACCAATAGTCTCAGTCGCGGTGCAACTTTACAAGCATTGAGCCATACTCTGACATCTTTGTCCGACTGTAGGAAGATGACCTGTTCAGGTAACGGCCGGTAAACACGATATTGACCCGACGCGGTCTTGGAAAACTCCTCGTCGAGGACAAGAGACCCGACCAAATGGCGTATCGCGGGGTGTGGCAAGTCAGAAGCACCGCCGCGGGTTTCAGGGTCTAGTTGTACCCCCCTGACCATCCTCACGACCTCCGATAGATACGGACCGGGAAGTGAACTAAACGTCAGGTAGGGATGCCCACCAAAGGTTCTTGGAGTCCAATTAGGCATTTCCCAAGGCTTCTGACGTAGTCCCAACTTCGCCCCTCCGAGTCGCTCAAAGCGGTATTTGGAGGGGAAATAATGCGAAATGCCGATAGGCCGATCAGTAAGATATGGTGCCCTGTCGACCTTCCGGGTCTTCGCCGAGAAGGGCTCGTCGGCTTCCTCGGATGTCTCTTCGTCGTCCCTCTCATCTCCGACGTCTGCCTTGTCCCTCGGCTTCTCCGCTTCGTCTTCCGACGAGGCAAATTCGTCAATGTCAGGGTAGACCTCGTCCTCGTCGTCGGGCAGAGGCCCCTGGGCCTGCTTGCTCCTCTTTGTCGAACTGCGAGTTGGCGCCGTCTCGCGCTGCTTGCCCTTGCCTTTTGTGTCGGTCGCCTTCCCCTTGGTCTCCTTCTTCTTCGCTGCTTTCGCCTTCGCTGACTTCGCCGCACGCTCCTTCTCTTTGAGTGCCTCAGAGAACTTCTCTCTATCCTCAGCAGACTTACGTTTGGCAAGATCTTGGAGTGTACTGCTCACACAGACTTTGATCAAGGCCCCTTGTAAGGTGCAATCTTCCTCCGGCTGTTGAAGCAGGCGTCTGAATTTATTCCAGGGCGGATAACTGAGCAGGAGTCTCACGGCCTCGTCCCATTGCTCGTCTGTTGCCATAGTTCTGCTGGCAATCGCATTCTCGACAAAGTAGTCGTGCACAGCTTCGAACATGTTCCTCCATTGGGCCGGCGTAATGCCGAGCAAGGACTTAACTTCGGCGCCAGTAAATTTGCTCTTTTTCGCATACCCCTGGCGGGCGTCAGAGGGCGAGAGATATAGGACTTGATAGAAATCTTACCTCTGCTATGCACGCTGCTCTGCTAATCGACAAAACCCAGGGGCCCTCCTTATCGGCCCATTCCATTCTTTTCTTCGGAGATGACCTTCCCGCTTGGGCTAATGCCGACTTGTTCTTACCCGACCG